CACCTCAGAGCCACAGAGGGAGACTGCTCTGAACAGGAGGAGGAGATTTCTCATCCCTCTCTCCATAAATCTCCTCGCACCCCTCATTCTGAGGTATCCAAAATGCCTGCAGCCCCTCCTGGGGGAACAAACCCTTTGTCCCCATCCCCTCTGGGCACAGCACAACCTTCTGCTGCCCTCACAGCCACAAATGGCACCCAGCTTCCCTCAGTTTTGGGGCACAATCCCGAATATCCTGAGGTTTTTGCCTGGTTTTTGTCTTTTTATTTTATTTTTTTTTTTTGCCACCTTCACTCGCACAAAGCTCACTCCAGGAGATGGATGCTGTCACATCACGGAACAAATTTTCCCCTCATCATGGGAAAGTAGGGATGGGAAGAAAATAAAAGTGAAGGGAGGAAGGAAAGTGGCAATTTAGGACCTCAAAGAGTGGCCAGGATGAAGGGGATCCCTGCCAGCTCCTGCTAAAGCTCTGTGTGAAAATTCTGGCTGACTCCAGAGACAGCCACATTTTGGGATCAGGCAGCCCAAGGTGCTCTGGAAAATGAAATCCCAGCTGTGGACACTGCATGAAAAACACTCTGAAACCTCTCCATTCCTTTGGGAAAAAAAAAAAAGAACTCTGGAAAGAAACATCCCCTCCATGGGGCTTCACGTGCCTAAATCTGTGTTTAGCTAAAGCTGATCTTGTTATTAAACCCAGGATTTCCCAGCAGAGCAGAGCCCCTCAAACCAGCCCAGGTTCCCCAGGTTCCCAGTTTTGGATGCTCTGGTGGGGAGGAGGATTTTTTTTTTTAAATTTTGTTTTTGGCACATTTCCCTGGGTCAGGCACACACCTCCATTGCCAGAGTGACTTCCCGGGTAAGAATTGCTCTGTGTGCTGCTTTCTAGCAAACACAGCTCTGCTGCTGGCCCAGGGATGAAGCCTCTGTTATCCTTCCAGCATGGGGAGGGTGGGCTGGGAACAGGACTGGGGTCCTGAGCAGAGAAAAAGGGTCCTGAGCAGGGTAAAAAGGGTCCTGAGAAGAGAAAAAGGGTCCCTGAGTAGGTGAAAAAGGGTCCTGAGCAGGGTAAAGGGGTCCCTGAACTGGAAAAAAGGGTGATGAGCAGGGAAAAAGGGTCCTGAGCAGGGGAAAAGAGTCCTGAGCAGGGGAAAGGGGTCCCTGAGCAGAGAAAAGGGTGCTGAGTAGAGAAAAAGGGTCCCTGAGTAGGGGAAAAAGGGTTCTGAGCAGGGTAAAGGGGTCCCTGAGCAGAGAAAAAGGGTTCTGAGAAACGAAAAAGGGTCCTGAGCAGAGAGAAAGGGTCCTGAGCAGAGAAAAGGGATCTTGTGCAGGGAAAAAGGGTCCTGAGCAGGAAAAAAGGTTCCTAGGCATGAACAAAAGGGGTCCCTGAGCAGGAAAAAGGGTCAGGATCCAACTAAAGTCAGTCTGGGGGCTGGGAGCAGGGCTCAGCTCCAGGACAGTGTAACAGCCAACAGCTACAGTCCACAAAAACAGGAAAATCAGGATTTTCAGCTGCTCTTGCCCCACATTTGGGATTTGCTGGCACCAAGGCAATCTCTGAGTCTCTGTTTCTCCAAGCCCACCCTTCCCCTGCCTGACTGAGCCATCCTCTCAGGTATCCCAAAAAGCCACAAATCCCTGGTGGGCACTCCTGGGGTGTCCCAGATTTGTTCCCTTTTTGTTCCCAAAGGTGACATTTCCCCCTCCCAGCTCCAGCAGGAGCTTTCCCCTCTGCCAGCACCTCCTCTGTTTAATTCTCTCTGATAGTAATTAGTTTTGTATTACGTATGGTGCTAATACTGATTACAAGGACTGATAACTCGAGCAATAAATACAACCCAGGGCTGGAAATTACCTTCTCATTTTTATTGGTTGGAGCTGAAGTTAGTGAGATGAGACACAAATTGGTTTATGAGGCAGCTGCCTCCTGTTCCAGGCTGCAGATTTGCAGCTTAATCCTGTCCCCTTTCCACGTGTGTCCCTGGCAGGGGGAGGAAGAGCCCGGGCACCAAAATGGGCACTGGGAAGTTCTCCATGGGCAGGAAGGGAACTGGGCTGGGCATGACTGAGCCCTGGCAGGGCTCTGCCTTCCCCTGCAAGCAGCCCTGACAGGGACTTGATGTTCTTTTAGGAAAATCAATGGGGAAATTAATAGAATTAGTATTTTTAAGTTGGGGTTTCTTTGTTTGTTTTTTGTTTTTTTTTTTTTTCCTCTTGCAGAAGCTCTAAATGTTTCAGACCCACCTGCTCCAGGAAGGTGTTGCTTCCTGTGTGGTCCCCAAAATTACTGGGATGGTGGATGTGGGAGCACCAGAGCTCCTGAGGAAACTTTGAGGAGGTTTTCACTGAAATTACCCCAGCAAAGGGCCAAAAGGACAGGTCAGACAGACAGACAGACAGACAGAGCAGCCCCAAGCTCTGTTCTCCTGGCAGGCAGATCCATGAGAGCAGAATTTGGCTCTGCCCCTCCATGGGCACAGCAGAGCTGCCCTGGCTGTCCCCAAAAACAGGACAAGGACAGGAAACCTCACACTTTGCCCAGGGCTCGGTGCCCAGCCAGAGCCAAGGGCTGCACCCCAGGGTGCCCAGAGCACCCCAAATCCTGCCCCTGCACCCAGCCAGAACTGGGCATTGCAGGGTTTGGTTCTGAGCCGAGCAGAGCTCGGGCACAAAGCGACTCAGGGAGGAGAAATCTCAGGAACTCGTGCAGCTCTCGCTGTGGGCTCCTGGCACCCCCCAGCCCTGCCCGTGGGGCACAGCACAAAGAGCCGGGGGGGTTTAGGGGCAGCTCCCCCTTTGTCTCACCCAGGTGAAACCACCCCCACCTTAGCCCGATCTCCAAGCCCCCAACCCTCAGCATCCTTCCTCCCTCCTGGGGGGACACCCCAGGATGCTGCAGCACCTCACAGAAAACTCCCTTTGCTCCCCAAGAGCTTCCCCAGCCCCCCCAGAGCAGGGACAGGCCCCTGCTCACGCCCCCAGCCCCATTTCAGAGCCAGCTCTCCCCCCATCCCTTCCTTCCGTGGGAGAGCTGGCCTGGCTGTCACTGCAGCCGGGGACAGGAGGGGACAGCAGCAGCTTCTGCACCAGCAGGGAAAGCTGCCCAAATCAGCATCCCGTGTGCCCCAAACCCTGCCCGGGCATGGAGGGGGGTCTGTAGGGCACGGCAGGGGCTCCCCCACACCGAAGAGATGCGAGCCTGGCTCGGAATTGAGCGCGGAGCACACGGAGCTGGGCGGTGCCTGGGCTGGAAGGCGGATTTGGGGATTGCATCTGGCGGCTGTGCCACGGCAATGAGGAGCTCGGGGCTCTGCAGTGCCAGGCGGGCACCTCTGGCACGGCCACCTGCCCAGGTGGGCACTGCAGAGCTGTAACCAGCCCCAGCAGGGCGGCTCAGTTAAGCCAGGCTTTAGCAGGGGGGCTCAGAGCTCCTGCCACCAGCAGGGCAGGGCGCTCTGCCCAGCACTGGCATTGCCCAGCCCCAAACCCAGAGCTGGCTTCCCATCCAAAGTTGCTGCCAAAGTTGAGGTGCTGCAGTCCCAGAGGGAGCGAGGAGAGCACGAGGCAGCCAGGCAGGGCAGCAGCTTTGTTTTCTCTTTGCTTTCTCTTTGTTTTTAATTCCCTTTTTTTTTTTTTTTCCCTTGTTATTCCCTCTGTTTTTCCTTCAAAACCCTCCCGGAGCGGAGCGATGCTGACAAGGCCGAGCAGGAGGTGCCAGCAGGCAGGTGCTGTGTGAAGCTGGAGGGGCACAGAGGTGCCATCCCCAGCATTCCCCTGGCACTGTGGCCAGCACTAGCCCTGCCCTGGTGGTCCAGGCTCTTTGTCCAGCTCGGCGCATGCGCGCGGCCTCAGCATCCTCACACACACACACACACACAAAGGGATGCTGCTGCTGCTTCCTCCCCTGCCCATCCTCATCCACACGGCCCCTGCATTTCTCCCCTTCCCTGCCCCTCATTCCGGGCTGCTCTGCCTCCCTCCGTGCGCCTTCAGCAGCTCTGTGCCCTTCCTTGCTGGGGGCAGCAGAAATCCTCGCAGGGTGCAAAGCCAAAAAGGCTTCAAACTTCAGCACCAGGGCAGTGACAGCGAGAGCTTTGTCACCGGGAGAAAGGGAAAAATGATCTCCATAAAGATCCAGGATGAGAGCCCAGCTGCTAATTGCTGCTACACTAAGAAGCCTCCATTCCCCTCCTATTTATAGCTGCTTTTGCTTTCTTTCTTTCATTTCTTTCTTTTTTTTTTTTTTTTGTGCTTCCAGGCAGCACCACAATTAACACCACAATCTAGAGCATCCTCTTGCAATTACTTTTTTCTTCCTTTCCTCAGCGACTGGTGAAAAAAATAAAAATAAAAATAAAACAAACCAAAAGACGATCCACCCTGCCTGCCTCTCCCCAGCCAGCTTCAAGAAGTCAAATGGAGTTTTAATTCCACTTGCAAGAGGCTTTTGGTGCCTCCTTTCCTCCCCCCACGGTTCACTCAGCCCAGGGGCTGGGACAGCAAAGCAAAGCATGAAAATCCAAAAAAAAAAAAAAAAAATTTAAAAAAGCAGGTGGAGTGGAGAGAGGGGGATAAATAACCTGCTGCCATCTCCCACCAGGCTGTCACAGATGGAAACATCAAGGGACATTTAAATGTCACCTAAAAGCAGCACAGCTACCCCCACACGAGGGGTGACAGGGAGGGACAACACTCGCACCTTGTCCCTGCGGCCACCCGGGCCAGCCCCAAACCCCGCACGGGGGTCCCGCATCCCCCAGCTGTGACCGGGGGGAAGGTGTCCCCAACACCCACCCCAACTTCTCCAGCCGTGCCGGGGGTCCCCCAGCGCAGGTGATGGCCAGGTGTGATTCCCAGGTGTGCGGCTTGGGCACAGGTGATGCCCGGGGGTGCAGCATCCCCGCAGATTTCATCGCTGCTCCGGAGGTTTTTTTAGCAGAAAATGGCGTTGGGGAGAAAAGGGAGAGGAGGGTGGGGAAAGGAACAAATGGACCTACTTGGGTGAGTTCTGTGCCCATCAGGATGAGGAAGAAGAGGGTCAGCAGCTTGCTTGCCGGTTGCATCTCTCGCACCCCGTTCTAGGCAGCTCGCATACAGATCACCTCCGGGCGAGCCTCCCCTGCGCCGTCCCCGAGCCTCGCTGCCTCCTCACTCCTTTATTCTTATTAATATTTTAATTTAGATTTAAAAATTAAAAAAAAAAAAAATAAAAAAAAAAAAAAGGCAACGAAACGCTACGGAAAAAAAAAATCAATGAAACCCAAAAAAAATTAAAAAAAACCAAAACAGCCTGATTTTGCGGGTGGTTCTCAGCACCCTCGGGAAGCGATGCCAGAAATCTGCTCAGCAGAGCCTTCACTTTGCATATTTATTGGGATCCCAGTTTCTCTCCTCTGCTCTCGGTGCTGGCTGTCTGGTAATTTATTTAATTTTTTTTTTTTTTTTTTTTAATGGCTCCCCTGCTCCAAAGACATTTGCGAAGAGAAATTCAGCGGAGCACGCAGTGATTATCTCTGCTATTGCCAAAAGTTTGCCTGGAAAAGGGGGGTGATGGGGAGAGGACAGGGGATTTAAAAAAAAAAAAAAAAAAAAAAAAAAAAAAAGAAAAAGAAAGGAATTGGTAGGGCTGGCTACTAGCAGGGGATGGCTGTGGAACAGGATGTGACATCAAGTAAGGCGGGGGAAATTTAACTAAACACGGCAAAGGGAGAGGGGGAAAAGCAGGCGCGGGAGCGCGGGGGGTGCTGCGGGGACCCCGCGGGGAGCAGGGGGTTAAATCCATCCTTAACCCCATCCTAAATTCCCATCCTTAACCCCATCCTAAATTCCCATCCTTAAACCTATCCTAAATTCCTGTCCTTAATTCCCATCCTTAATTCCCATCCTTAACCCCATCCTAAATTCCCATCCTTAACCCCATCCTAAATTCTCATCCTTAATTCCCCTCCTTAATCCCATCCTAAATTCTCATCCTAAATTCCCATCCTTTATTCCCATCCTTAACCCCCTCTCTGTGTCCCCCCGATATCCAGGGGTCCCTCGGGGCAAGGGGTTGGTGCCCAGGGATTTGATCCCCCCAAAACCCCAAATCCCAAAACCCCAAACCCCAAAACCCCGAACCCCAAAACCCTAAACTCCAAACCCCAAAACCCCAAACCCCAAAGGCAGCCCCCGGGAAGGCTCCGAGCTCCATCCTCTCCAAAGGAATTCCAGGAGCAGGAGGTGTGAGAATCCTTTTGTCCCCTGCAGGTGCCCCAGGGGCTGCAGGCAGTGCCCACCCCACACTCAGCTTTCCCCCTAATTTCTGTCTCTCACTCACCCCCTGAATTCTTTCCAAACCCCACTTTCACCTCATAAATATTACGGAATATTTCAGGGTGTGGTGCTGCAATTGAAAACATCACCCCTTTTTCTTATTTAATAACACGAGAGAAATTCCTTGGCCATAATTAGCAAAGGGTCCCACCAGAGGATTTTCCCCCTTGATTGCTCCAGGATTTATTCACCTTGGAAGTGGAGCAGGACATGGGGTGTGTGTAGGGATGAGCTGATGCTTTCCAAGTTCTGGGATCAGCAGGATTCAGCAGGAACCAGGAAATCTGACTGAGCCTCCATGGGGACAAAAAAAAGCTGGGAACAAACTGGAAAAAGCTTTCTGTGTGTTCCTATCAGCCAATATTTAAGGGAAAGTTGTCCCAGTCCTCCTAGGAGGGGTTTAGCAGCTCCAGAATCATCCCATCCCATCCTCAGCCATAAAATTTTATGGAGGACTTTTAAAAAAAGCATCAAACTCCTCTTGACTTTATGGAGAGCAGCACAACGAGGCCAAAAGCATCAGTGGAGCAGCAGGGTTTGAACACCTCCTCCCCTGGCACCTCAGGAGGTGTTTGATTGCCACAGGCATCACCTTCCCCCTGGCAGGGATCACAGCAGGGCAAAAATAAAAATTAAAAAAAAAAAAAATCCCCAAATTCAGAGGGAGGAGGAGGAGGAGGAGAAGCGAGTTCCACGTGGCTCTGTGGGTATTTCAGTGTTCAAAGCACCTTCAAAACCTCCCTGAGAGCAGCTCCTCACCAACCCTGGGCCACGGGGCTGGTGCAGCTCAGGAGGCTCCAGGTGCAGGGTTTGAAATAGAAATATAGGAAAAAAAAATTCTAATTAAAAAAAAAAAAAAATTCTATTTCTTAAAATGGAAAATTAAAAATTTAGGGCTTAAAAATCTTACAATAGATCGGAGAGAGGCAGAGCCCAGCAATGAGAGCTCTTTTCACACAGAAATATTCAACAAACCAGCTCAACTTGACCTGGAAAGTTGCTGTGCCCATGGAGGGTGATTTCAATTTGGTGGGGACCTCAGAGAAGAAATCCCAGCTTGTTTTACACAGACAAGGCTCTGAAATGGATTTTTCCCAAGGCTCCAAAGTGGAATCTCTTTTTTTCCCCCCTGCTTTGGTTTTTATACACATCCAGTTTTATTGGCTTGGGCAGAAGCATTAGCCCTGCAATTGGATTAATTTATTAATCTTTTGAAGTATTTCTGAATTAATATCACCAGCCTCATTACTGAACTGGGAGAGGGGGAGGCCCTGCATGGTCCTTCCTCCAGGGAAGAGCCCTGCCCCAGGGAGCTCCACTCCCAGGACAGAAATCACAGAAACCAAGAGAAATAAAAGAGGGGAAAAAAAAAAATAAAAATCACCCAGTGGGAACACAGCTCAAATCTTTTGATTCCCACTGTGTCTTCCTCAGACTTTGAAAAATACCTGCTCGAAATTTGGAAGGAGTTCAAGGTCTGGAGAACCTCTGCCCGTGGAGTGTGGCTAAAGAGGCTCCGATTTTTCCCCAGGAAAAGGGAGGGATGGGAGGAGGCTGCCCGGGGGAAGCTTTCTGTACATGAAGGCTCTTTTATCTTCTTTTAAAAAAAAAAGAAAAAAATAAAAAAAAGGCAAAGCAAGAGTCCACAGTTCGGAGTAGAAATAGGGCCTGGGGTTTTTTATTCCCTCAGGGGAGGAGAATCAGGCTGTGAAATAACTCAGCTGAAGGCACGGTGCCCTCTGCACCAGTTAAACCAGTTAAACCAGTTAATCCAGAGCCCAGAGCCTTGCCCAGAGCTGCATCCCTGCTCCTCCAGAAATGAGAGGAAAGGTTTTTTTCCATGAAATTCCTGCTGTGTGATGGAGGAGAGGAGAGAAAACCACATCTGCTTTGTCTTCTTGATGGATAGCATGAGATGGAGGCCAGGACTTGGCTCTGCAGATCCTGATGTCCTCTGGAGCAGCTGCCAGAGATGGACAGCAGGGGATGGCAGGGGACAGCAGGGGACATCAGAGGATGGCAGGGGATGGCAGGGGACAGCAGGGGACATCAGGGAATGACAGGGGACAGCAGGGAATGGCAGAGCTGCGTCAGGATCCACCCATACCCTGAAAATGAGCAATTTCAGCTGATTTCAGGTGAATTCCATGGATTTGTCACCTTCTCTTAGGACCTGATCTCTTGGAGTCAGACAAAGCCACTCCCATGCATTCTCACCCAGTCCCTCAGCCCCGGGAATTCAAACTGTCCCCAAAGGGCAGAGGGGATGGGGATGAAGAGCAAGGTTCACACACAGATCTGAGAGCATGGAAAGGGTTTTTTTTTTTTTCTAAAGCCAACATCTCTCATTCTTCGCAGCTCTTCACCTCCCTGCTCACGAGTGGGCTGAGCAGCAGACACCGCCAGACTTCAATTCAGCCACAAAAGCTTCAGGGAGAGCGGGGCAGAGCAGCTCAGGATGCAGGAGTGTGCACATGGAATGGTGACAGGAAAAACGCAGCGAGCAGGAGGTGCAGGAGACAAAGAGCAGGGAGGGAACTGGAGGAAACAGAAGTGAAGGGGGAGAAAAACCAAACCCCAACCAGGCCGACTTTGTTAGGAGCCGACTTTGTTAGGAGCTGTCTCTGTTTGCTGCACTGAAACAGAGCGTGGCTGCTGGGGAGGATGGGTGGGTGAGACAGCCTTGGTGACAACCTTGGTGGCATGCAAGCCTTGGTGACATCCAGATTTGATGACACCCAGCCTTGGTGACATTCAGATTTGGTGACATCCAGCTCTGGTAACACCCAGATTTGGTGACACCCACTTTTGGTGGCATCTAGCCTTGGTGAGACCCAGCCTTGGTGACACCCAACTTTGGTGACACCTAGTCTTAGTGGCAGCCAAATTCCAGATTTGGTGACACTCAGCCTTGGTTACAATCAGCCTTGGTGACATCCAGATTTGCTGACACTCATCCTTGATGACACCCAGCTTTGGTGGCATCCAGATTTGGTGACACTCAGCTTTGGTGACATTCAGTCTTGGAGATATCCAGCCTTGATGACACCCAGTCTTGGTGACAGGCAACTTTGGTGACACCCAGCTCTGGTAACACCCAGATTTGATGACACCCACTTTTGGTGGCATCTAGCCTTGGTGAGACCCAGCCTTGGTGACACCCAACTTTGGTGACATCCAATTTTGGTGACACCTAGCCATAGTGGCAGCCAGATTTGATGACACTCATCCTTGATGACACCCAGCTTTGGTGGCATCCAGATTTGGTGACACTCCGTTTTGGTGACATTCAGTCTTGGTGACATCCAGCCCTGGCACTGCAGCCAAGGATTTCTGGGAATGCCAAATCCTTTCCCTTTGCCACACAAAGCCTCAGCCACCCCCTGCTCCCAGTGCCCCGGGCAGTGACAGATTTGTCACACTCCTCTCTTTGTCATTCCCCTCAAATTCACGTTTTCTGTGCACACAGATCCTTCCTTGTGTCCCAGTCCCTTCCCGGGTGCATCCCGCATTTCCAGATGCTTCCACAGCCATTCCCATGCTTTCCTTCCTGCTCCATTTGTGCTTTTCCCCCCCTCATCAAATGCTTCAGTCCGAGCCTCACAGCTGGAAATCTTGTTTTTGCTGCTTCTGAAGAGCACAACGCTGCTTTTCCTGGGCTTTCCATTATCCAAATAATTCAAGGATCCGAGCAAAGGAGGTAAAACCCCACACCTGAACTGTTCGAGGCAGCTCCTCTGCAAACATCCCCTCCCTCTCTGGCAATTTTAAAGTTGTTTTTTGCCCCTTGCAAAGCAAATGAAATCCACATTAGCGGCTCTTAAAGGGTTTGCAGCTTCCCAGCAGCCCTGAAGGAACACAAGGATCATCATCACCATAACAAACTCTGCTTCCCCAGCAGCACCTCCAGCCAATTCCCGGTGTTTTGGGCACCTGGAGGGAATTCACACATTTTTGTATCAACAAATGGGGGTCAAGGAGGATCAGAAGCACCAGCAGAGCCTCAGAGAGCCCAGAGCCACCCAGGGAATTTGGGCTGCCTGATCTCTTCTAAAATAGCATCTCCCTTGCTTGGGAGAGATTCCAGTGGGGAAAAAAAATTTGGTGGGAAAGGTGAGAGTCGAGTGGTTGAGCAGAATTTACCTCTTTCTTTGTGGTGCACGGATAAGAGGCTGAGTGCTTGCAGAGCTCTCCGAGTTTCCATGGTATTTCTGGAGGGCAGCTCATGGGTGGAAAGGAGGATTTGCTGCCACTCAGGGTTCTGCCACCTCGGTGATTTTCCATGTAGTGGAAAGGTGCAAAAAGCCACAGCTTAAAAAGAAAATAAAATAAATTAAAATATGACCAATAATTC